CTAAAAACAGACATTTAAAGGGTTCATGGGAATTTAGCTATTTTCTTCCTGTGCCCCAGTGGACTGCTGTGCCCACCCACTTAGGAGACCATGCCAAACTCTGAGAAACATCAGGTCTAGATTGCTCAGCTTGGCCTTTGAGGACCTCTAAGTTCCAGTTCCATCTTCAACTACTCTCCTGCTTGAGCCAGAGTGCTACTTACTGACCTCTGACCCATAGACAGGTGTTACCCTTTCTCATTTCCAGAGTAATTGTTTCTACTTCTGCCACCCCCATCTAAACCCTTCCCATCCTCTGGACTTCTGGTGACTTCAAGTACCACCACAAAGCTCTTCCAATGTTTCTATGAATTTCACTCACTTGACCAATTTTATTGAGCACCTACTATGGGCCAGGCACTCCAGCTTTCACTGTTCACCTTTCCCCTCTCTGACCTCACACCTTCTACCATCTAGCATTAGCCGTCAGCTGTCACGCTAGCAATGAGCACTCTCAGACACTGTGGTACAGCCATAGGACTCAAGGTGTTTCTGTGTCTGTGGTGTCTGCCTCTTTCAGTCAGGATAAGCAACTCTAGCTGCTGTAACAAACAACCCCAACATCTCAGTGGCCGAACACATTACAGGTTTATATCTTACTCACATTGCAGTCCAGTAAGGGTCAGGTGGCCCTCCTCCGAGTGGTAACTGGAAGATTCAGGCTCCTTCCATCTGTGATGACTTCATCTCCAACACAGGATCACCAGGACTGTGATGGGAGGGGGAGGGGAAACATGGGAGGCAGCTGTAGATTCAGGTCTGGAAGCAGCACACATCACGTCCATCCACACTCCATGGGCCAGAACCCAGCCTACCCACAGGCAGTCTTGGAATGTGGCCTTCCTGCACAGCCAGGAACAAGAAGTAGTATGAGTGGCCGTATACAGTCTGTCCCTGTTCCATAACCAACTACACCGTGAGCGTCCAAAGGGCAAGAATCCTGCACACACCTTCTTTATGTGTCCCTGTGCCTGCTCCGTCCCTTCCAGCCCACCTGGCTGCCATATCCAGCACACCACCTTGTACCCAGTTGGTGTTCAGTAGTGATCAGCTGATAGGCAGACAAGTGTGAGTTGAAACAAGCTGGCTGAAGAAGAAGATGGAGGTTGGTGGAGCGACAGGTCCTTCCTGTTCTCTGGACAACCCTGCTTCTGGGCCTCGCACTGTGTTCGGCACATAGTAGGTGTTCAGTAAGCATTTGTTGAAAAAAATGAACAGATGGACACACGGGAAAATCAGGAAGACAGACTCAAGAGAATGAAGGAGGAGGTAAAAGGTTTAAAATATATTAGGTGGTGGAGAACCCTTGGGTCCAAAGCTGAGACAAGCAAGCCTTCCCAAACTTTTCCTAAACAGAGAGGCGGTGCCCTCTTCTCTGGCCTCCAGGGATTAGAGGCCGCTGAACCCACTTGATTGTGAACTGTGGGGCAGGATGTTATGGTCAGATAAGCCAGGGTTTGGTCTTCCTGGGCCCTCTGGAGTTCCCCATCCTGGGGCAGTGATGGTGCCTCCCTTCTGTGATTTGGATCTTTATTTGCTGGGATTCACCAGGGTTAATTATTGTTGTGGTCAGGTGGCGGGCGGAGAAGCCCCACCCTGGCTCAGGGCCTACTGGGGGATCCTGAGAGTCGGGTGGTATGAAGGCCTGGAGGGCTGGTTCTGGGGCTGGAGGTGGCACAGGGTGGTCTAGAAAGACACCGCCTGCCAGCAATTTAGCTGTTTCTGTACACCTAGACGAGTTGGCTGGGTCTTTAACCCTTCCTTGTCCCCCCCATTCGTGCCACCTCCCCCAAGTCATCAAAGCCCCAGTGAGGCCCAGCTCCATGAAGCAACCGGCATTATTCACAAGGGTGGGGCTGGGTGAGCTGGGGTAGAAGTGGCCTGGCCTGTGGCTTAGATCCTGGCCCGCTGATGGTGGGACCGGCACCCCGAGCTCCCCAGACTCCATCAGGACAGGGCCACGTCTGCAGCATCTCGGCCTCCGCCTCGCCTCGCAAGACCCTCCCCCTGGCCTACCTGAAGTTGCCCTGCCACCTGCATCTGGCCTTCCCAGGCTGCTAGGTTAGTGATGGCTAATGAAGGGACGAAGCCAGGTTAGTGATAGCTCAGAGAGGCAGGGCGGGAAGCGGGAGGTGGGAGGACTGAGGCTTAGGTTACTCTCCAAGCTGCACCGCAAGTTTGGTCCTTGAAAACCCAGAACTGGAGTTGCTAGCAGCACACACACACTGTTGGTGAGGTTTTCCAAGAGCCGCTTGGCCCGCCCCCTCGTCGGGCCAGTCTCACAGTCCTGTGTGTGTGACAGTAGGGTATGGATTAGCCCAAAGGATGTGTGTTGGGTCTGGTGGGGCCAGTGCCAGCTCTGGGAGGGAAGTGCGGGCAGCGACTCCTGGGCAGTGTGGAGACCCTGGACTCAAACCCACCTTGTTGTGTGGCCTTTGTTAAGTCATTTAACCTCTCTGGGCTTTGGTTTTCTGGGAGGGTGATTTAGTGGATGAGGGTGATGCTACCTACCTCAGCAGGTCGCTGGGAGAGCCATGAGATGATTTCTGTACTGTGATATCTGTGGGCTACCACAGGGCATGTGTTGTGGTAGATATCGCGATCACGAGTGCCATTCCTTGTGCCGTTGTAATTATGACATTGTTGCTATGTTCAGTTGTGGGTGTGATTTGGTCTAGCATATATTGAAATTGATTGTAATAAGCGGCTTCGATTTCCAGCAAGACAGGGGCCTGGACACGCATACTCACTCTTTCTGTCTCCTTCTTCCTCATGTCTTCCCTCAAGGCCGAAGGTTTGGGGAAGTGATGACCCCTCCCAGTCCCTCTATGTGATATTGTCCAGGCTGTGCAGAATGTGTGGTGGGCACAGAGAGGTGAATGCAGAGAAAACCCAGCATGCCAGTTCTCTCTGCCACCAGCTCAGGGCTGCCAAGTCCTGGCCGATGACCTCCCCACCCTCAGATTCCCATCACTCTGGGTCCCTGGGCTGGTCCTCTATCTGCTGGGTGTTGAGGCCTGAGCCAAACACTTCACAGGTATCCTCACAACTGGCCTGCAATGGGGGGCCTAATTATCCCACTTACAGATGAAAACACTGAGGCTTGAAAAGGTTAATTCACCTTCCCAGTAAGTGGCAGAGCTGTGCACTCAAACTGGACACCCCAGCCCAGAGCGGGGGCACATAGGCCCCTCATCACATACCCTAAAAGGAAGTTTGCATCTGCCCTATCTCATGGGTCTTTCTCCCCCTATGGCCCAACCTTTCCAGAGACAACCATCCCCCAACAAGCCAGTCAGTCACTCAGAGAGAAGTGAGGGGGGGTCTCTCTCTAACAGCCTCCAGTTCTAGGGGAGTGGAGGGTGGGGAAGGAGCTTCAATCTTGCAGTCTGAAGGAATTGGGGCCCTAAAATAGATAACAGGGAGGAGGAGGAGTCTGAAAATAGACTCTGGGGAAGACCAGGCATGGTGGCTCACTCCTGTAATCCCAACACTTTGGGAGGCAAGGCAGGAAGACCACATGAGGCCAGGAGTTTGGGACCAGCCTGGGCAGCATAGCAAGATCTCAACTCTACAAGAAATTAAATAATTAGCTGAGGGTGGTGGCATGCGCCTATAGCCCCAGCTACTCGGAAGGCTGATGCAGGAAGATCGCCTGAACCCAGGAGGTCGAGGTGGCAGTGAGCCGTGATCGTGCCACTGCACTCCAGCCTGGAGTGCAGTGAGACGCTGCCTCAAGGAATAAAATAATCGACTCTAGGGAAAGCAATGAAGCCTTCTAGAAGTGCGCATGCGCACCCACACACACACGCACACCCCTCTTACCAAGAAACTTGGTGACACTGAAGCCAAGACAAAAGCACAAAATCACAAAAATGAACATACACATTCAACTCACAAATATTGTTTTGGTTATTTTTTTTGTTGGTTTTTTTTTTTTTTTTTGAGTTGGAATCTCACTCTGTGGCCCAGACTGGAGTACAGTGGCCACTCCCAGCCACCACAGCCTCGACCTGCTGGGCTCCGGCGATCCTTCCGCCTCAGCCTTC